CTCCGCTCCAGTGTTTCTATCCAGCAGCGCTTGGATCTGGCTTGTAGCACTCACGTGATCACAACAATAGCAGCGCTAACAAGTTAGCAAGAATGTCGGCAGAACTTTCTATTTTCATCACAAACAGATAGATGCTGTAAAGAAAGTACAAAACAAGTTGAACTTGACTAAAGACAACATAATTATAAAGGAAAAACAGACTGCAGATGCAGATTTTGTCAAACATTTGAGAAAAACAGTCAGTGAGGTAGTTAACAACCCACAGATCAAAATGTCAATAGAAAAGATGGCTGATGTTGCTCATGATCTGAGAATATCAGTTGATGAAGACTCTTCAGAGTGCCAAGCTGGAAAGAAAAATGCAGACATCATCACTGAAGACATTAAAGACATACTGAAATACAAAGAAGATCAGCTTCCACTACAAGGTGAAATATGGAAAGAACTAACTTGTTTAGAAAAAGAAGAGTTTCGCCTTCGAAAAGTTGGTTCAGAAAACATAGAAACATACAAAAATAATCTTCAAGAACAGAAGAAAGATCTACGAAGAAAACAAAACAGCTACAAGATGTCAGAGGCCATGAAACACTTCATCAGAGCCATATCCAGCCCAGGAACAGAGAGGTGTTATTTCCTGAAATGGATGCAGATGAACCTTGATAATCTGTCTCGTATAAAACTGTCTGGACTCAGAGAACTCTATAAAGAAAAATGTCAGGATTCTGAGAACAAAGAGGAGATCAAAGAAATTGATAAACAGCTTTCCAGCAGCTCACTGGGATCTGAACACTTCTTCCGTGAAATGGGTCAGATCTATGAAGCTTCTCTGTTCCTTCCAGAAACAGACCCATCACGTCAACAGCTGCAACATCTGCCCAGACTCTGTGCTCAGTTGTTGTTGGATGGATTTCCTCTTGAGCTTGTTGATGGAGATGCTTCCAACATTCCTCTCAGATGGGTGAGTGATGTTCTCTCTCAGCTCAATGACTTGGTGTCTCCAAACAACAAGATCCTGGTAGCAACAGTTCTTGGAGTTCAGAGCACAGGAAAGTCCACTCTCCTTAACACCATGTTTGGAGTTCAGTTTGCAGTCAGCAGTGGTCGATGCACTCGAGGTGCCTTCATGCTGCTCATCAAAGTCAATGAAGTCCTCAAGAAAACTCTCAACTGTGACTTCATGATGATCATAGACACTGAAGGTCTAAAGTCACCAGACATGACACAACTGGACAACAGTTATGAACATGACAATGAGCTTGCAACACTTGTTGTTGGGCTGAGTGACATCACCATCATCAATATTGCAATGGAGAATTCAACAGAGATGAAGGACATCCTGCAGATAGTGGTGCATGCTTTCCTCAGGATGAAGGAGGTTGGTAAAAAACCTAAATGTCAGTTTGTTCATCAGAACGTTTCAGATGTTTCAGCTCATGAGAAGAACCTCAGAGACAGACAGCTGTTCCTACAACAGCTGAATGAGATGACCCAGGCAGCAGCTAAAATGGAGAAGAAAGAGAAGAACAAGAACTTCACTGATGTGATGGAGTACAATCCAGACACTGGGAACAGCTACATTCCTGGACTCTGGGATGGAAACCCACCAATGGCACCAGTCAATGCAGGATACAGTGAGGCTGTCTATGAGCTCAAGAAAAACATAATTCAACAGCTGAAAAACTGTGAGTCAACGTCTAATAACATCCTAGAGTTCAGAAAGTGGATGAAAAGCCTGTGGACTGCAGTCAAACATGAAAACTTCATCTTCAGCTTCAGAAACAGCCTGGTAGCTGATGCTTACATGAAACTCTGTTCAAAGTTCAACAAATGGGAGTGGGAGTTCAGAAAGGCAATGTACATCTGGGTTATCAATGCAGAAACAAGAATTTCTAACTTTGGTTCAGTTGCTGCAAAATCTGAACTATCTGACCTCAGAGACTTTATCAGTCAGTTGAAAAGTGAAGCAGCCACAGAGCTGACTGGATGGGAGACAAAGCTGCTGAATAATCTGAAAGAATACTTCAAGCAGACAGAGGGTCATGTTCATTTGGTTGAGAGATACAGGGAAGAATTCTCAAACAGCATAAAGAATCTTCGACAACAAGAAGAAAGCTCTGTTATTAACCAGCTCACAGCAGCAGCTGACAACAAACAGGGAATAAAGGAACTTCCCAAAATCCAAGAGAATCACACAAAAGAAATTGTAAAAGCAGTTTGTTCATTAATTGATGAATGCAGGACGGAAAAGGATCAAATGACAGATTTAGAGCTGAACAAAGAATTTGACCAGATGTGGATTAAAACACTGAACACCCTGACTTTCACTGCTCAGAAACCTTCAGATATCTTCACCAGTGTGTCCCATCATCTGAGATTAAATCTGTCGTACAAGGGGAGTCATGCATCTGAACTGCTGAGTGAAAAAAGACTCGTGGAGTGTGGGTTGCAGACTTTCAATTTTCTAATTAAAGGAAGATTTGACGAAGCCTTCAAAAATATTAAAGGGTTGCTCAACCTTATAGATCCAAGACAACAAATTGCTGATTCCATCATAGCTTCTTGTACTGACTTTGTGTCTGACAAAATGAAAAGTAAAAACAGTTATGATGATACTGACATCCAGGAGATCCTTCATATCGTTGATGAAAAGCTGAACAATGCTGCAGTTAAATTAAATATTGAGCTTGAAGTTTCTCTAAAACAGCACATCTGTGGATTTGCAGCCAGAGAGTTTCAGAAAATGCATGAAGATTTCATAGAAGAAAATGATCTTAAAAGCTGTCTGCAGAAACACAAGGAGAGGTTCTGTTCAAATTTTAAAGATTTGTTCTATGAACGAGACTGGTACAGTAGAAAGCTGAAGATGTGGGTGTAGCTGATGAAATGCTGAATTTGTCCAGGATCAAATGTGATCTCTCGAACAAGTTTATTAAAACTCAAACATGTCTACAGTTGGTGCAGAACTTTACTGCTAAAATTAATATTACATGTATGAATGTAAAAATGGAACTGTTTTTTCTGTCAACTGATTTACTTGAAACATTTTGTGAACAAGAGGAAGTTGTATTTGGGGACTTCAATGTTTTTCAGCAAATGAGCTGGAAAATATTTTTAATATTTTTAAGATCACTTGTGCTTTGTCAGTGTGTAGTAAAGGAGTTTTTTGGCATTCAAAAGTTTTTATGAAAGAATGTAAAGAATCATTCTTAACTCTTGTTTATTAACATTTCAAAAATTGTTTAATAAAAGTTATTATAAATCACAGGTAACATTCTGTACTTTAAGTGATTGAATAAAGACAGAAGCTGCAGTCAGTTTATGAATGTCTTTAATGTTTCCCAGATCAGAATCAGCATACAGTGTAGAATAACTTCTAAAAGAACAGAAATATCATCACCTCATTCATTTATAGCAGTTTATTTTCCTTTTTAAAAGTTTTTAAAGTTTAGTTATTTACCAGATTTGTTCGTCTCAAAGTTTTGAGTTTCTGAATTCAACATAGAAAATACAAAAATAAGACAACAGGTGCAGATTTACAGTGAAGCTGAGTTAGAGTCCGTTTTATCTACTTTTCGTCCATTTTAAAACTATTGGATGTTGATGAACTTTTAAATAAAACTGAATTAACATTCAGTCTAAAAGCACTAAGATATTTTCCCATCATTATCCCTGTTTTTAGAACCAAAAAATAAATTTACTCAAAAGAAAATCATTTACACAGTGACTGAAATCAATCATTCCTGTTTGGTCTTTTGACAGTAAAACTCTGATCCCTCCTGTTTGTCCTACATGTACAAACAGCTACATGATAACAGTTATTATGAATTAAACTTGTGTTTGTCTCAGGTTTAACATCTGAACAGAAATAAGTAACAAGTGGTCACACAGGCTTAAATAATGTGAATTTCTCATCACTGCTCAGATTCATCATGAAAAGAAACATTTGAAGATAAATAATTAATACAGTGAACCTGCAGACCTAAATGATATTTCAGAATGTGACTCTTTTAAAGCTAACGATGCTAACTCCATGACCTTTGACCTCTGAGGCTTCAGAGAAGTTTTGCTACAGAAACTCTCTTCAGGAATAACAATGCTACACAAAATCCACACAATTTAATCAACCTAAAATAAAAATGTGTTTAAAAGGAAGTTTAAATCAAGAGGACATTTTTCATGTTACAAACTGCACCTGTTGTCTTTTGGAGACAAAATATTCATCATTCATTCACTCAACCCCCAAAACAGACAAAGAAAAAACAAGAAACTTAATATTTACAAATATTTCATCTGTTGGATTCTTACACATAAAAATGTACAGTTTTGATTCTCATCTAGATGTTTGTCAAACCACCAGTTGTGTTTTCTTCTTGTTTCCTCCTGACTGAACTCAATCTTCTACAGTGGCGCCCTCTAGTGTTAGCTTATAAAACATCAGGAAAAGGAGCAGACAGGAGCTAAAGCTCTTTTCTTTTTGCTCCTCCTGTGAGATGATGTAGCTGAGGTTTCAAACCTCTGACTGCTTCTGTTTCCTCAGACGTGAGGACAGAAGGCTTCGTTTGGACAGACAGGGTCCATGGAGACGCATCAGCAGATACTCGTCTAACATTGTGGACAGAAAGACGGCCATGTTTCTGAATAATCTGATCATTTCCCCTCTTTTCTGATTCCGTTTCTCTATTTAAGGCTGTGAGTCTTTTCCTGTCTTTGTCCAAAGTTTCTCACCAACAAAATGTCTCTTTTCTTGTGCTGCTGTCCTCCTCTGCAGCATTCTTCCTCCTTCACTTCCTGTGTGGTTTACATTGTGCACGTCTCTGATTTTAACGGCCTTACAGAATCTCTCCCAGCCTTTAGACAGTAATAAAGTAGAAAACAAACAGGCTAAAGCTAAAGCACAAGCAAAGACAGCAACCGTGGGATCAAACTGTTCTGTTGTTCTGGATTCATCAGTTTTCTTTCATGTTTGACATCTTCATCTGAGAATCAGTGGAGGGAAAAACTGCTGAGCTACAAAACCCAGAAGHTGCTGACTAAATGAAAGGAGCAGCAGACATCATGTGTGTTTTACCCTGCTGAGGAGGTCCCAACTTTCATCCYGCAGCTGTGAAGCCCACCGCTTCTCCTCACTGTGTTTACAGCTGGAGAGCTCCGGCTCCAGAAGCACAGCAGGAAGAGAACTAAAGTGATGAAGTGAGGAGAGATGCTGAGGAGGCTGGAGATTTTTATCTGACAGGTTAGACCCTAATTTAACTTTTTTACCATTTAGATCTGCCTCTTGTTGGGTCCATTAGAGACCAGTTAGACCAATTAAAAGTCATTCTGTTTTTAATAAAGACCTTTGTTTTACAGATACAAATAAAACAAATTAAAATGGAGGCAGGATGGAAAGTTTTGATAAGTTTGAAGAGATTTTCTGCATCAGATTTGATCTAAACTAAAATCTCATCTTCATACAGAACAAAAGAAATGAATCTTATGATGGTTTAATTATTCATCTAATTAAGAAAATGTTCATAAATTATGTCATAAATGACAATAATTGGAAACTAATAGAAAGATTAAAATAGTGACTTTAMAAAATCAGCAGAAATGATTAATTTCTTCTGGATAAATGGAGAGAAGTGTCATGATTTCATAAAAATCTGGAACTTCTGATAATAACAAATCAGAAAATTTTGACCAAGATAGTTTGATTAGATTTGGGAAGCGTGCATTAAAACATTTTGTGTCCTTTCCCCCCACGTCGTCAGCTTTAAAAAATAATTCATGCATAGATCCCCACTGAGAAAACCCCCTTTTTATATACTTTCTCCTTTGTACACATTTATATAGAACTATATATAGTATCATTTCTCTATAACTTTAATTTCCAGCAAAATAAATCTTTCCACAATAAAACATTTAAGCCGATATCTGAAAAAAACAAAAAAAAAAAAACCCCCTTTTTATATACTTTCTCCTTTGTACACATTTATATAGAACTATATATAGTATCATTTCTCTATAACTATATTTCCAGCAAAATAAATCTTTCCACAATAAAACATTTAAGCCGATATCTGAAAAAAACAAAAACAAACGAGGTGAAGAAACGAAAACCACAATCGACAGCCAGTTTGGCACTTGGTCATGAGAACGTACAGCCTCTGTTAGTTGACACTAAATAAGACTTTCTAGATTTTTTTTTCCCTTGATGAGAAAGCAAACACACCAGTACATAGTTGGCACCAAGAATGCTGGTAGAATGAAGTGACTGATGTTTCTTAGCTGTGTGATTCCCTCCCTCCGACACCTCAGGACGCCCAGAGCAAACGAGCATCAAGAAGAGAGAGACTCACGAGTTAAATGAGAGGAACAAGGCTAGAATTAAGACACAGATGTAGAAAATCAAATCAAAGCCACATAGCACACTAGGGGACAGAGAAAAGTTGACATCAAAGTAAAAAAGAAAACATCAAAGGGCAAAAAAAAGCATTTGTCCCTTCAACAGTTCCTTTAGACTGGAAAATGTGGACCCTCGTGGAAAGATCTAAATCACCTCGGAACCGATGGTCTGCTCCTCTGCAGTTCTTCTCTGTCTCCGCTCACCAWCTGTGGAGGGTCCTGCTAAGTTGCACAGCACGAGATGGAGGTGGTGGAGTTCCTTTAMGAGAAACAAGAGTATAAAGTATCAATACAGGCCCACATCCACAGGCCTTCCTTCTAGATCTGTAGGAGATCCAGTATTCTTGGTCCTTAGGTGGTGCTGTGTTGAGCTAGTCCCTACTATACCCTGGTGGTGGAGTGGGGGTGGGGCAGGGTGTTGTTGTGGCCGGTGGAGGGGAAGGTATTGAAGGCATGGAGAGGCTGCATGCTGGTGATGGTGCTGGGGATCATGGTGATGGTGTTGGGAGTCATCAGCGGCACGTCGTCCGGAGCGCGGCGCAGCGCCAGCGTGTAGTCGGGCGGACAGGCGGGCCGCAGGATGTCGTGCGGTCGGAGGGGCTCCATGTCGTGGTGAGCGTCGTGCTCCGAGTGCTTCATCTGCAGGGACATGATCTCCTCCTCCTGGCTGTGAGCCAGATCGTTGGCCGGCACGCCTCGCTGAGGAGACAGCCGGTGCCGTCGCATCTCGTGCCGCTTGTCGCGCTTGTAGTAAAGAGCAGCAAAGGCCAAGATGTTGAGGAAGAGCAGAGAGGCTCCTACTGCAACCGTCACACTCAACTCCGTGGAGTAGTCTCGAGTGTCTCCAGGGAACAGGTCCTGAGGTGGACGCTCCGAGCCCTCGGGCTCTGGTTCAGAAGGGAAGGTTGGGTAGGGGTGACGAGTCGGTCTAGGAGTCCTGGGCCAGGGTCTGTTGGTGCCAGGGCCTGGGCCTGGACCAGGTGGCAGACGGGTAGTGATGACGGGTGGGTCACGTAGACTATGAAGATGGGGGACTAGTTCTAGCCAGAAGGCCACCTTGTTGGCCCTGTAGTTGTCCCTAACACGAGGCTTTAAGCCGATGTGGAGATACTGTTTGTCCTTCGGGTTAAACTTTGTCCAGATCACCTCTTCAAAGCGGTTGGGCTTGGTGTGAATGAACTTGGTGTCCTGAGGGACAGGCAGGTTGGGATCACTGATGGAGAACAGAGATAGAATCTCAGTTTAGGTAGTTTTAACATGTCACAAAACCAAACAGAACAATATAACAAGTTTTCAGCCGATGCACATTTATCTGTTTTTTTATGGATAGCAAAAGTTCTTCAGATTCGGTTTATTGATAAATCTTATACCTCAGGGTTCAAATAAAACCTAAAACAGATCAATTTAAAATAATACCCACCCAGTTTTGGCAAAGTTGGTCCAGTATGTCATGACCACAGCGCTCAGCATCACATCGTTCTTGGAGAAGTTGCACGGGAACAGATCCGTGGCACCGATCATCGGCACGCCGAATACGTATGGTATTTCGTCTCCATGCGCCGCGTCGGCCCATTCTGGTCGCGTCTCGGTCTGGCAGTGGTGGTAGAACGTGTAGAAATAAACCGGGGACTGAAATTCAGCGTGGAGTTTGGCCGTGGCCACTGCCGGCGCCACCCACTGGTGGTCTGTGAACAGAGCTAGCAGGGTCTTCCTTCTCATGTCTCCATTGTCCCTGTCGGCCCAGTCTGTGTACATGAACTTGATGGTCTCCCTCAGGATGTCTTTACCTGTGGGGGAAAAAAGAGACATACATGTCAAAGGAGGTTAAGTTGCTAAAATGAGCCAAGATAACTGGATTGGGGGATAACTAAAGAACATGTGAAACATAAAGAGGCGTTAATTTGCCTCTCAGTTTCCAGGGAGACTGACAACAACGTGAGCAAGAGTGTGACTGCATTACTCAAATGTGTTTATTTTGACAGTGTCCCGCTTTGAGGCTGATCTGTTTGGAACAACAGCTCTGTGATTGGGAGCTGGCCTCCTGGGGGCTGATGAGCGACAACATTAGTCCCCTCAGAGCCCCAAAGGCCAAAGCACAGACCCACCGCGGTGAAAGATAATCTTCATGATCGACAATCTCCTTGCTTGTCACACTCCACTGAGCTCACATTTGATCTTTTCTTGTGTTTTACCCACATTTTGTTCCACAGACTTGCATGCTGACAAAAATATACATCTGCATTATAGAAAAATGACAGTATAAGTTGTGTTTATAATGGAAAGTCTGCAAATATATTTTATTCACAGTCTTGTTTCATACAAATGCCATCCTTCCATCTGTCCGTCCCTTTTCTTCCACTTATCCGGGATCGGGTCGCGGGGGCAGCAGCCTAAGCAGAAAGACCCAGACTTCCCTCTCTCCAGCCACTTGGGCCAGCTCATCCGGGGGAATCCCAAAGTGTTTCCAGGCCAGCCGAGATACATAGTCCCTCCAGAGTGTCCTGGATCTTCCTCTGGGTCTCCTCCCAATGGGACGTGCCCAGAACACCTCACCAGGGAGGCGTCCAGGAGGCATCATAACCAGATGCCCAAGCCACCTCAACTGGCTCCTCTCAACGTGGAGGAGCAGTGGCTCTACTGTGAATCCCTCCCATGACCGAGCTTCTCACCCTATCTCTAAGGGACAGACCAGACACCCTGCAGAGGAAACTCATTTCGGCCGCTTGTATCCACGATCTYRTTCTTTCGGTCACTACCCAAAGCTCGTGACCATAGATGAGGGTAGGAACGTAGACTGACCAGTAAACCGAACTTCACCACGACAGTCCAGTACAGTGCCCGTATCACTGCAGACACAGCACCAATCCACCTGTCGATCTCCTGTTCCATTCTTTCCTTATTCGTGAACAAGAACCCAAGATACTTAAACTCCCCCACTTGGGGCAGGACGACCCCCCCTGACCCGGAGGTGGCATGCTACCCTTTTCTGGCTGAAGACCATGGTCTCGGATTTGGAGGCACTGATCCTCATCCCGGCCGCTTCACACTCGGCTGCAAACCACTCCAATGAGAGCTGGAGATCACGATCTGATGAAGCCAATAGGACCACATCATCCGCAAAAAGCAGCGAAGCGATCCTAAGGTCACCAAAACAGATCCCCTCAAGACCTTGGAAAATTCTGTCCATAAAAGTTGTGAACAGAATCGGTGACAAAGGGCAGCCTTGGCGGAATCCAACTCTCATCGGAAACGAGTCCGACTTACTACCGGCAATGCGGACCAAACTCTGGCACTGGCATTGATCTATATTACTGGATTGGACATCACGTGACTTATCGTGCACCACACAGGAGCCATTGCTATACATTGAGTCATGTCAACAAAACAGTAGAGTTTCAATGCGGGATGCGCGTCAATTTGTCACAAAAATGTTCATAGCACCCTCATTTCTTATCCAATTTCTATAAATTAGGGCTTAAATTAAAGCTAAGAAAATTGCTGATGTTGCTCATGAGATAAATCTATAAGCAGTCTGGGAACTTTTCATTATAGGCTTTTGCTAACGTATTTAAAATAAAAGCCCCTTTCCGACACATAAAGATAAATTTGCTGTTCCAAGAAATTATTATATTTTTTATTAATATTGTTATAATGTTAGGATAACACTGTGAGAGTTGAATATAATGGACAACAGTAAAATTACCTTTACTACTACTAGATAGAAATATTTTTCGAAGACTGACAGGTGTTTGGTTTGGTTCCCTCACCCTCAGGATATCCATAAAGGTTGTCCACAAAGTTAGAGATGGTGTAATCAAAAGCTGCAGCAGATATGCCATCGTTGTCCTCGCTGTCATCCACAAACTTCAGTCCTTCACCTTGGTTCACGCCGATCAGGATATCATAGTTGAGGAACTCCCCCTGGTGGAGACCAACAAGTTCACTCATCAAATTAAGTCACTAAAAATGTTTAAAACACAGATTCTGCATGTTTTTCTCAAAACTATTGAAATTATTAGAGTTAAAACAATAACATTCACATTAATGAATAGTTTTTAATGTTATTTATTTTTATTTTCTTGAAACAAAATTAAACAAAAGCTAATATTTATTTTGATCAATCAACTCAAATGTTAACTTTCTTATAAAGACTTTAAATAGCACATATTTTAAAGAGATGAGGTCATAAATAAAGACTGAAACATGAAACTACCACAAGGTCCTGGTCTCGCCAACATCCAGTCCTCATCCGAATAACTGACATTAAAATCCAGTCCGGGTTGCTCCCTCAGACCAGCTCCAGGTCCTCACCTGCTGCATGAGGATCTCAGGATCGTCAGGGACCACGTCTCCATCCACCACGGGACCAAAGGCGATGTGGTAGCGGGCCGGCTGGATGTCCTGGTCCACCAGCTCCCTGAAGGTCTTGCGTCTCAGGCAGTCGACGAGGTCCGCCGTCTCGGAGTAGGTGCAGCCCACCTTCCGGGCCAGGATCTTGGTGTACTTGAGGGGCTGGTAGTTGACGGACCAGCTGGAGATGGCCGTGCCGCTCTGAGCGATGGCTCTGTGGAACAGACCTGAACGGACAGGCGGGAGAAAACCACATTAATCACATCTGTGTCTGCTGAAGCTGCTGGAGTTTAAAACTCTTCCAGTTCAAACTCTCCTTTCTTTAAAGCAAGAGATAAGATGGGCAGATCTGAAGCACGCTGTGGGGCTGGAGCTCAAATACAAGCTGGACTGGGAATAAACTCATCTGACAAGTCCAAAGATCTGTTTTCCTCTTCTCCATCTCTCCTCCTCCTCTTTCTTTCTGTCTCTTTAGCTCTGCCTGTCCTGAGCTGCTGAAAGCACTCGAGTGGCTCGTTAAGGGAGCCGCCTGCCTCACTCCTTTCCTCTCGGGCTCCTTTTTTTATTTTCTTTCTTTCCTCTCACCTCCTCTGGGCTGGAGGTTGGTCAGTTAATTATTGAGGAGAGCTGCAGAGTCTCCTGTCCCTGGGAGATCAATTAAAGTAACTTGGAAACATATCTGCACCAGATAAGAGGAGGAAGAGGAGGAGGAGGACTTCAGCTCATTTGGTTTCTAACATTAGTTCAGTGTCCAAAGATCTTTTTACCATCTTCTCCTTGTTTGTCCAACCCCTCTAAACCAGGTGAGTAAACTGTTTTGGCATCTATCTTTCCTGCTTTATCAGATCAACATTTCAAGCCCCTCCCCCTCCCCTGCGTCCTGCACATCTCTGCTGTCAGGTCTGATCTGCAACAAACTGCTGTCGACATGATTGGTAGCCCTTAAGGATGACAGACTCCTTACCTGGCATCAATGAGGAGAACAAGGGGGGTGCATGACAGACAGGTGGGCGTCTAGAGGGTTGATGTTACACCGATAGATGCTGATGAAGAGGAAGACGATGATGCAGAGACATGAAAATGGACAGGTGACAGCGGGGGAGGCAACACAAGACAAGGAGTTGATATTTGTTAGTTTGTTAAAGGTTTATTTCACTGCTAAACCCGAGGGTCTCGTGGAATCTAGAACAAACTAAACAGTTCTGGTTTTTATCTAAAAATAGAAATGCACAGAGACTTTTAGAAAACACTTTAACGTCTCACAAGTTAAATGAGAAATGTAATTAATGTCTCTAAAATTTTAAATCACATTTTGTGTCAAAACCCACAGTTAATGAGGCAGCTTTGGAGATGTGTTTAACTGTAGCTCTGAACTGTTTGGAGAAGAATAAGTTGTTCCTGATTTATTTTCTCTCTTTACTCTAAAGCAGGGGTGGGCAATCCTGGTCCGCCCTACAGGTTTTATGATTTTCCCTGCTCCAACACACCTGATTCAGACATTGAATTACCAAGTTCTACAGTATGGAGGACCGACACTGACATAACTAGAAAAAAAAGCAGAAATATATAAACGGACCAATAAATAAAGTCAATTAAAAATGTGCCAATTAAATTAGTAAAGGAGAGCTTTATCTCATGTTTTATAATTTAATTGACCTTCATATTTATTTTTCCAACTTAGTTCCAACTAATAATATATTTTTGGAAAAAGGAAAATGTACATTATGTGCAAAATATACATATATACAATTATAAATTATGTTGTAGATATATATTATATACAATTATATAGTATATATAATTATATATTAAAAACAGTAAAATACTAAAAACTATTTTTAATGTTTTTATTGTTTTTCAATATATAATT